CCCTTTTGATTATATATACTTTGGCATTCTTTAAATTATATTGAAAAATATTTGTCAAATAAACTCGATTAAAAGAAGAGCTTATATTTAGTGTTCTTCATTATTCATTTAAAGAAGTAATTTATTGATATAAATAAACAATTGATTAATGGAGTTTTGTCAGTATATGTGATGTATTGCATTGTATGTATTAAATATCTCATTGCACTGTATTGTATTGATTTATTTGTTGTTTTTCTTCATGTTTGTGGGGTTGTTTTTTCTTTATTATAAAATATGTGACCTAAAATGATATTTCAACACGTTTGTTATAACGATGTACCTATGTGTGTACAAGTTATGAAATTAACTCTATTCTTTTCTGATAAAAGTCATACTTTAATGATCAGCTTGGACACTTAAAGCAGAAAGATAAAGAAATATACTCAGAAGTAAATTGAAAATCGTATTTTTGTGCTATTCTAAACTTGATTTGATTACTTTTTACCATAAGAATTAGAATATATTTTTACAATTATTCTGATAAAACGGAGTAAACAAATGATATGAAACATTTTTGCATCAAATACAACATTAATTTCGAAAAATAAAACTCGGAAGAGAGCCTTTAACTGCTGTGTCAGTTTCGTTTTTTTTTGTTTTGTTTTTTTTGTCCGTTACTTACGTTCATTTCGCAGCTCACTGACTACAAGAAATTGAGCAAAGAGTATCCGTCACTGATATGACTTTAATATAACTTTAATTACAGCCTAACCTGTTTAATAATGGGTAAAGTCATTTAAGTGGTCAGATTTAGCGATTCTTTTTATTGATCAGAGGCAGAAAAAAAATGGTGAGAAATAAACAAAAGCAAACAAAAAATGAAAAATTAATAAATAAAATGATGGGTTTGATTTTTTTTCAATTTTCGGTCATGTTTTCCCGGATATATGGTATAAAGTCAAATCACATCCTATTCCTGCCATGAAGCCTTTATTAAAGCTCTAGATAAACTTAGACTTTATGTCACTGTCTAGGCCTTTATGTCTCTTGTGATACCCAATAAATCAAAGATAGAAAATTAAGTGAATAGAAATTTCAGTTTCAATCACGATTGTCAACCTGGCCTCATAAACAATTTACCCAATTGGGTCCGTCTTGATTTGAGTGCGAAACACTCTAGGATAAATTTCCCTTTACTTTGTTTACATGTTCACCGTTTTGATATGCACGTGCGGAAATATTTTGTAATTATTTTCTTCACTTGGCAAATATAAGTATAAATCACATTTGAAATTTGTTAAGATTGTTTATTTTGGTCACTATTATCCATTACAATTATCTAGCACATGCCAAATGTATTAAATTGGATGATTAACTTAAAGCTGTAAAAGTATGTGGGTGGGGTATCTTAAAATTATGCACAGGTAGCCATGATTCGGTACACTTATTATTTTCATAGCGTTAATTGATACATATATCTTCCAATAATCAAAATATTCTTTATTGAAAATAGGCATATAAATGAGATGTAATGTTATAAAATAACCAAGTCTTAACTCATACGCATTTTGAAATTTTGTAACAGAAACCAGTGACCCTATTTACCGTCAAGAACGACAAAAACTGTCAAGAAGTAATATGGAAAAAAATTAATTTCACATATTAATGAAAATAAAATCATCATTTTTAGCTCGATTATATGCAGAATAATCGAGCTAATGCAGTCACCCACTTGTTGGCGTCCCTAAGGTGTAAGCAAGTATCTCAATAACTACTGAAGGAAATGGATTGAAACTTCACACACTTCTCTGTTCTCTGTTATTATCTTACATGATTGGCACAAGTCCCATAACTCTGATTTGCTATTTTGCATTATTTTTGCCCCTTTTTTGACTGAAAAATTCTTTGTAAAGTGTTTGCTGAAAGGTTCTGTTTTACAGAAGGCCACCGCACCATCTGCTTGTGTGTGTGTGTGTGTGTGTGTGTGTGTGTGTGTGTGTGTGTGTGTGTGTGTGTGTGTGTGTGCGCGTGCGTGCGTGCATTGGTGCATGTTGATGTGTGTGGTTTTGTATGCACTGGACAATGAGGACATTCATTAGTAAGAACAGCAACGACTGAGGACTTATCGGTATAATGAGGCCGTCCTCACTTGGTTGCATGTAAATACTCTTTAAAATACATTTTTTTCTATAAACATGTTTTAAGTTGTAAAATCAAAATGTCTCAAATTCCTAGCACTTTTTGACGTGTGTATCATTGTTTAAAATTTTCATCATTTCTGCGCATTACAATTTCACACTCAATGATTCTGCGTATATGGCGTCATTCTTATCATATCAATAAAATGGCGTCAAATTCCGAAATGTACTTTGTACAGTACTCATTTGACTTTCGCTGTAAGATTAAAAGTCTCCTAGAAATACTATATTTTATGTTGTAGAACATGATTTGACAAAATACAATACGTTTTATGTATATATTAGCTACAATGTATTGCAGTTTCATATTGACAACTCGTCTCTGTTCTTACCATATCTGAATGTCCTCAGATGTCTTGTTTACAGTATATTAGATATAAATTATTTGTCATATCAAACTCACATTGAATTGTGTAAGCTTCAATGATATCAAATGGTGTATTACTCATATTTCTCATTTTGTGTTTACTTACAACTACTTTTATTACTCAAGGACTCAAATTGTTTGTTGCTGTTTGTTTTTATTATATCTTATTTTTTTCTTGGAAAACTAACTGTGTAGTTAATCTGGATTCGACAGTTGGAGTGATGCTCTTTCAAATTTACAGACTTGGTATGTCTATGAAGATTGTTTAATTTTTATGTCTTATAGATTTATTGCTGTGGATAATTTTTCTCTTTAAGTGACATGTACTCTATTGGAAAAATAGGGAACAGTTACAAATTGAAAATAAACAAAATTTTAGTTATGTGATCAATGCATTAAATCACCTTATATAACTAAAATGACTGTATCTGTATCTCTGCAAAGTAGAAAGATCCTCGTCCATTAAAAGGTTCAAAACTTGTTTTAAAAACAGAATTTTAACTTTTGAAGTGGTGTATAATTCAACTCTTTAAATAATTCAACTCTTTAAAGAAATTTAATATAGAAAATCACGCCAATTTTTAATGTAAAAATTAAACATATAGCTAAAAACGTTTATATATATAGATGTTGAAGTGTATTGTTTTGAAATTTTTATGACATTTCAGCAAATAGTTCTTGTTATTTATAATCCAAGATATCCGTACGCATATGCTGCAAATGTATCATGTAAATTATAAATATATCTATTAAAAAATCCATAAACACTTTCGCATACAAGAAAAGAAATATGGAATGCAATACCTTATGAAATTGAAGATGTCCACTCTTTCTCAGACTTACTTGTTTATCTAATTCAAAAGACATTATAAATATGAATGAATTTTTTCAATGTTTTATTTGATCTATCCGTATATGATAAGGGAATGAAAGAAAATTATCGATTTTTTGGGGTAATTTTGTAACATTCTATGAAGAATACAATACTTAAAAAAAATAACGAAGCTGGTATGGTAAAATGAGAAACAAAAGGCACGGCCTCGCAATCCTCATGTTGTTTTCTTTCTTTTTTCAATTATATGATTTTATTTATCAAATGAAACATAGACAAATGTTCACGTGGACTGTCTGCAGTTTACTTTACAGTTTGGTTTCTTTCTTTTTTCTTTTTTTTTAAACAATGATTCACTTCAAAATGTATTATGTTGTATGGATGATAACAAGATTCAAACTATTCTACTATTTATTATAACCATTTAATACATGTTATTAAGACCAGAGCTCAAGTGAGAATGACTAAGGTATCAGAGAGGCATGATCATATAAACGAATATCAAGTAAAGGGAAGTAATCCCATTAACACTGTACAACTAAACATGTAAAAAGTTATCTGATCTTGATATCATAACAAAACCTCATACTGTATGTAAGGTTGTTTAGCAAGAATAAAGTTAACATCATTCAGAATTGATTGCGATTGATTGAGTTTACATTTTCGTGGCGTTTAACAATCATGCTATTATTTTTTGGTGTTGTTAATCGATTTTCGACAGAAATGTAAAGTTCAATTACTTACACTCCAAATTTGAACGAGATTAGTGCATTACTACTGAATTTATTGCCAAATATAAACGTGTATAGTAGTAGTTGTTGTTGTAGAAGAAAAAAGAAAAAGAAGAAGAAACAGTTTATTTTAAAAAAAAGCTGAAAAGCCCTCAAGGATGCAAAACAGGCATGTAATTAGATACGCGATAAAATATAGTTGTATGTATAATTGTAAGATCAATTTAAGCTGATGTTCATTCATAATAAAATAATTATAGATATTGAAAAGTAGCAAATGTAATTCCTATTATAATTTCTGTTTTAGTAAATTATTTGATTAACACAAGATAGATATATCTGAATAATATGTAGATACTGACTTGGTGCAGTTTGAAATTGAACTCCGACCATTTTATCATCATCTTTTGTTAACGGGACAACATTCTCATCATAGTGTTTACATGGTATATGATCTTTGCACAAACATAATGCATATACATTTTTAAATATGGTCAAATTGTAAACTTGGACCTTGTTTTAAATGTAACAAAGAAAACCAAGGTTGTGTAGGTTCATCTCCATTTAATCAAACTTTAGAAACATCAGTAGTAATGTAAAGACAACCTAAAACATAGAATATTACCAAACAAGTGAATTACATTACAATTCTTTTATGTCAGCCGTTTAAATACGCGACCATATAAATTACACGACCATATATCCGGTCAAAATATTTTATAACGAATGTATATAATAGATCTACAGCAAAAATTCATTTATTTGAAGTAAAAATGTAAAAAGTATTTATAGATTGATAGCATCTGTGTATTCGGATCATATTTATAAACGCCAGTTATACTATTAAAAATAATATCTAATCAAACGTGCAGTATTGTAAAAATTCATGGTATTTGTCTGAAAAATTGTAATTCATTTCAACAGTCTTTACATGCACTTAAGACTTTGACATTTTTTTCCAGACATTACAAGCATACAATAAATAATTTATATAACATTTCCGTGTATATATTTCTTACTCTATTCAATACATAGTGAAAATGGCACGATTCAGAAAAAGAAGCACATTAATTCATTTATTGTTAAATTTTTTACTATGATATTGCAATTATTTGATTCTGTAGTTTTTTTTTCAATTTGAAACAAATACTAAGCACTTTATCAGTATCTTTACAAAATTTTAAGGCAAGACATGAATGTTATTTAAAGTCCGGCTTTCTGCTCTGGGTGTTTGGTTGGTATTTGGCACATAAGAGGCGACATGGGTTCGTAACACCAGTTTCAGATAGTTAAAATACTCTGTCAAGTCAAAATCTGAATCCTTTCCATGGCAAACAATTCTGGGGCAACAAACAGGGAAATGCTCGGCGTGATTGTATTTAACGTAACATCCCATCTCGTTAGTAAATTGAGGACCTGCATCACACCTGAAATCCATCAGATAAGATCAGGTACAATAATATAACACTGTTCATACCTTTATACAAAATAAACGTCAAAAACCTGCAAGTAAATTTTTAATGAGTTCAGATTTCAGTTCAAAGATCCCGATACTTGCGTGACAGACAATAATTTTCTCAGAAATATTATGTTTAAAGGCCCATTATGCCTAAAAAATCTTTTATTTTTTATTTCTTAAAAGCTTTTAAATTTTGATGTACTTAAATAGTACCTAAATGCAGTTACTCATTGGCTCCTTACTGGGACCACTTTTTTCACCTGTTGTAGTTATAGTAAAGAAGTATTTTATATGGAAAATCAAAATACTACTTTGTTTACATTTTGCTACTTATATGACAAATTATTTCACATTTATCGCTACTTTTCTCTTTTAACAAGCATCTCACATTTCTATAAGACCATTTTTAAACATTATGATATGCATGTTTGCCCTTTGTACGGAAGCAAAACTGGTCAGGATCCATTCTGTTCGCTACCAGTTTCTCTACTTGCTGTAGGGTTTGTAAGCGAACAGCATGGATCCTGATCAGACTGCGCGGAAGCGCAGGCTGGTCTGGATCCATGCTGGTCGCAAACGCACAATGTTTGTAACGTGGCTCAAATTATCTATTAAGTTATCTTGCTTCAGAGAAAAATTCATATCGATGTAAACACGTTATTCTTATGCAAACCTAATAGTAGTCATTTACATATGAATATACTGGAACTATGGAGAGTCTTGGTTCCACAATCAACATTTCGAGGGCATAGAAGTATAAATAAATATTTTGAATTTTCATATGCAAACTTTGGACAGTTGTGGATAATCATGCAATGCATGCATGCTCGTTAGGAATCGATTGACTTGTTGCACTATTTGTTTGTTTATATTACAATTCTACATGATTACTAGTACTGCTCTAAATACCATTTACCATAGTTAGGTGTGTTTTACTTTTTGGGAGGATTTTTTAATATATGTAAAAAAACACTCTTATACTGCCTCAACAGAATGGCGCAATGACCGTATGGATAGAAATAAGCAGACACTCAGGTAAAAAACCAACAGGACCCTCAGGTAAAGAACCAACAGAAGTTTGATTGCAGTGATTTTTAATTTTCTGTTTCCAAATGGATCAATCAAAATTTATTTCGGACAAAGTCTTCTCACATAACCAGGTACCGAAAAATACATGCATAAAAATATCTAAGTTTCAGTTGTAATAAGAGTACAATGTATAAAAATTACTATTTTTGAAAAGAAAAACATTAGTATACTGGAAAGTGGTAAACATGCACCTACTCTAAGCATTTTATTCCAGTAGCTTGACATATGCACATAGAACAACCATCATGGAATCGGTCTCCAGTTTTAAGCTGAACTCCTCGAAATAAACATTTATCTGCAAATACATGTATTCATGTATTCATTACAAACTTAAAGTAAAAACATCTTTTTGGCATTACCATAAATTGAACCGCGTCATGACAAAACCAACACAGTGCATTTGCAACCAGCATGGATCCAGACAAGCCTGCGCATCCGTGCAGTCTGATCTGGATCCATGCTGTTCGCTTACCAACTCTATTACAAGTAGAGAAACTGATAGTGAATAGCATGGATCCTGATCAGACTGCGCGGATGCGCAGGCTGGTCTGGATCCATGCTGGTCGCAAACGCACTATGTTTGTTTTGTCATGACGCGGCTCAATTAATTTTTTAAACGATATCCACTTATCTTAGAGCGCGTTTTAATCTTTAATCATTTTTCTCTCTTAGTTCGATTGTAATAAAAACATTTTAAGAACACGTCTAAATTTTTTTCTAAGGCTTGAGTGTAAATGTCGCAACGACGCTAAATGCTTGCCACTAATTGTCGCGGCGTTATTGCCGCTGAATGTCGCCACCGTTGCTAAACTTCATTACAAATACTGTCGTAATTTTACTACATAGTACAAAATATACAGGAGAAGACCTTTATAAGATTAATAACTTTCGGCTCTAATCCTTTTTCATTCGCGTATCTGCATTTTGTATTTATTGTAAAATATTATTAACATGTTGTATTTATTGTTTGAAATAAACTGTCAGAAATAAATATTGGTTTGGTTTAAACATATTTATTTTAGCTCGATTGCGAAACAAGTTCTTGCAACTTATATAAATCACTTTCGAGTCCGCTTCCTGGAACTAACCAGTACTGGTGTCATATGAAGAAACATGGTCGTGACCCGATTAGGGCCCGAACCCATGAACTCTGGGTTGAGAGGCAGACACCTTAACCACTAGGCCACCGCTCCCCTTAAATAAATATTGGAGTCATCCCAAAAGCCCCTTGGTGATATATATTAGGCAATTTACTATACGCCATTTGGCAAATGTTCGCCACGTCTGTATAAAGACATTTTCCCCGTTGTCACATGTCAGATTGTCGTAATGTTGTATTAACATCTATATCGTGTGTGCTCCATTTACAGCAAGATGCATTTAGAATGATCATGTCTAGCTGTGTAACTTATATAATTTATATACATATGATAAAAAAACATTTCTATAATTATAACTTGAAGACAAATGTAAAATTTACGTACCACACATTTCTACTTCACAATATTCCCAACTGTCTTCTTCACTTCCTGTTGGAGATATGTAGCACCAGGGAGAGTCACGTTTCCCTAGAGGATTCCTACAGTAGTTCGAGTCCAGGCCGTCATACCTGAAACGATCCGACGTAAACGTATGGAGATGACGGTTCCAAGGGACGCAACTGTGACCGGAATTAGTTACAGCGGCATTACCTCTGTATGAAACACCGTTATCGTGAAGCGTATAGCAGGTTCCTAGAACAAGTCCACCAAACAATAATATTAAAAAACAACAACAACAAACAAACAGTTTTACAAGAAAAATATTGAAAGGGGAATGTACTTTCATTTATTAATTTCTGGAGGGAAAACGCTATTACATATTTTATCGGCAGAAGAAAATAGCGCTAAATGTGAAATGTGATTTTTAATAATAATTAATTGTAGCAAAATGAATACAAAGTACATGTAGTATTTTGATTTCCATTCAAAATATTAAATCAATATTATTATAGTAATTGCCAATATGAAAAAGACGCAAAAGATGGCTCAAAGAGTAAAACTAAACAAGTCATCACATATATAGAAGGCTTACAAAAATATTATTAGCATTTTTTCACAGGGAGACACAGGCAAAATTTTCATTTCTTAGTTTTGAATTTTTCATTCATTATTCTGTAAATGCCATCAAAATAAATATATTAGACAGTCAAAGGAACAAAACTTTTCTCCATATAAAGAATAAAATGGTGGTTTCCTAACTTGACCCGCGTGGGTCAGGTTAGAGCCCTAGCATTTCACAATAGTTGTCAAAGTGAACTCTGGAAACGTTAAAGAACATGTCAAATGAATGACTTAGGCTTGCTTCAATCATACAATATCCACAATATCTGTTATTGTAACTTCAAGGGTTTGTTCAAGTCACCTGACTTGTTTTAAAACTATTTGGTGATTCTATTGGCGTCTAAATTTTGTTCAACATATATAGACATATTTACGCTTCAAACCCAAAATATATAGAATTTAAACAGAAATTCATGCTGAAACTTCAAGAAAAGTCATTTTAGCGTGATTTGAGTACATAAGATCATTTTAATATTTTTGTCATTATTTTGCCTGAATATCCCTTTAATGGCTTTTAAAAGCTGGCGTCTCAAGACGAGTAAAAAAGTGTAAATTTTGAATGAAGAGTTCAATAAATGAAACAAAAAATGCTTATCACCAGTTCAATTGACGTTCTGCATTTTTTAATGAAAAATATGACCGAAATAACTATTTTATCATGTTTCAATCCCCGTTACTAACGACTTATCGTGAACTATGAATTTAACATAATGTATGCATTTATAGGATGTAAGCGTTGTAGGATACCAATAATCTATGTCCAAGCTGAAGTTAAATATGACTCGTCAAATTATCTTACCTGTGTAGAAACACTGCCCATGCGTTTTAAAAATAAACAAACTAAATATAATGAATAATATTAAAAGTCTCATTCTTATCTAAAATTCCAAATTATTTCACAGTTCAAAACATTTTTTTGTTAAGAAAAATATTTAATAAATTATCGTCCTGGAATAAAGTTTTCCTATTTCGTCTAGCTCCAGGTTATATTTCGCTGTGGGCGGAAAGGGACACCATATGATTAAAAAAATGTAAACAAAAATATGTAATTTCTAAAAGAAAAAAATCAAGTACTGCTACAAAGTAACATTAAACTATATAATTGCTCCTTTTTATTCCTTATTTACTATATTATATCAAAATATTAGTCAATGGATAGAAGATAACATAGTCTAATCTATGGCAGAAATTCAACAACATCGTTTGAGCAATACACCTGCCGACGTTATCTCATCAAATACAACTGAAAGATAAATGTTATTATAAAAAGATTATTTGAGCCGCGTCACGACAAAACCAACATAATGGGTTTGCGACTAGCATGGATCCAGACCAGCCTACGCGTCCACGCAGTCTGATCAGGATCCATGCTGTTCGCTAACAGTTTCTCTACTTGTAATAGAGTTGGTAAGCGAACAGCATGGATCCTGATCATGTGATCAGCATTTTGTGTGTGTTTTATATATAGTATATGTTATTTTGGTTTTGGAGTGATATATGTGGATATATTACCTGTTAAGATTTTATATCACCCGAGCCGTTAGGCGAGGGTGATATTTTATCTTGGCAGGTAATATATCCACATATATCACTCCAAAACCGAAACAATAATTTTATTACCCTTCCCTTGCCGAGTTTAGATGATTTTTTTAATAATCATTGCTGTTTCAAATGAAACGTCGAAATAAGATTCCCTTTAGGATACCTCTTTGTCACAACATGACGTCACATAAATACATGACGCATTTTCCCGTACCTTACGAAAGTAAACAAGTGAAAAGGAGTAGTCTATTGAACGCACTTTTTTGAAATTAATATCAAGCTTTCACAAGGTCATTTTTGTTTTCGATACTGATGGTTATATGTATCATTACTCTACTTTGGTAAATATTTATCATTTGACAGTTAAAAAGTGCTTTTAAATCGGAATTTACACCGCGTAAAATCGAACCGTACGCGCATCACCTAAGCGCACGTTGTTTACAACGTTGGGTACCAAACGGGGAAATTTAGTATGTATATTACCCGTCTGGCTCGGTTATATCAATTTCTTTCGGGTGATCAATATCCAATAAAAAAGGCGGAAAAAATCTGGAAGGGTAATAAATGTTGATACATGGGACAATATCGTATGTGTTTATGTATATTTCCTGAATAAATCGGTTGAATGCCACCCGCCAGTATTCGCTCAGCTCAATGAACGGTACCACCTATAGTGATTTATTTTAGAAAATCAAACGTGTAGGAGTTGTTGAAGAGCAGTCTTTAAAGATACTTTACTATACAAGTCCTTATAAATCATGTGACCCGTGGGACATGGTAAATTTTGAACCCTTGAGCTAAGCTCTGAGCAATGCAGTTTTATAAAAGAAGACTTAAATGTATTTTCCTTTATAAGCCTTGGCAAACAATGTGACTCAGAGGGCGGGGCCATTTTGACCCCAAAACCATGATTGATAAAACTTCAGTTGTAAACCAAAATGCGATGTTAGATGCTAAATGTAGTTTCAGAGAAGAAGATTTTAAAGATTTCGATTTTTGACTCCTGTGACCTACTAAAGCATCAGACTGGAACAATTTATGTAACTTTTGTAGATGACCACCTAACCTAAGGATCATTCCAATCAAGTTTGGTAAAAATCCATCAAATGGTTTAGCAAGAGATGTTGTTGATAACCACAGAAGTATAACCATGTGCAGGTTTCCTTTAACAAAAGCTCACCTCTGAGCACTGCGTGCTAAGGTGAGCTTATTATAAAGGTAAAATTCTATTCATAGCAGACAAGGTAGAGATCATGTTTTTAAAAAGGGAAAATTTAAAGAGGGGTTTATAGTAGACATATGGTTTACCTTTGGCATGGATGTGTTATTGATACCAAAATGAGCCAGATGTTTGGACAAGTATGGATCAAAATAGAAGAAAAATATCCCGTCTTATCCGTATTATACTTGAGGAAATACGGTACCTCTGGATAATTTTTCGGACCAACAATGGTGAGAGACCAAGTGATTCGCAGTAACCGACTTTATTCTCAGGCCCACGGAGGTCACCACCTCTTGTATCAATTGCAATGCAACATACCTAGCTGCACCATCTGGGGTTATGGTTCCCAGTTTAACAGCCAGTGGGTATTTAGTGACGTGATAATACTCTACGTCGTGATTGTTTCCTCCTCAGTTAGGTTCAACCAAAAGTTATTTGTAAGATCACACTTTTCGCACTTTCATCCGGATGGAGAAATCTTTTTCCCATTGTCTAGTAGTTTCAGGCTTTCTGCATGTTTGATTTAAAAACAAATAATTATAAAAGACCTTGTCAAATATGAAAAGTATGGATATAATATCAAACCATGACCCAATTTTTAAAGTGATATTATGCTCGTTTTTCTTTTTCAAGTAGAGCTGATCTATCCATATATTTCAAAAGACTTTCTATAATATAAATGTGGTTGACCAACAATTATATATAACTGCCAAGACTGTCCTACTGTTTTCATAAATTGACTGTTACTCGTAATTTCCAATGGATATTTATAGGAATTTGAGTTATTTATCGTTTATTTAAGTAATATAATTTCATTGGGAAACTTGAGTTATTTATTGTTCATGCTAAGTTAGTTATAAAATTGAAACGAATTATGTTAAATTTTTGACTTTCACTTGTTCACTCACTTTATATGTATACCCTTAGGTGAGCTTAATTTTTACTTTAACAATCTTCAAATTAACAAGACAGTAAAGAAAGGGGCACAACTCTGTAAAAAGGTAACTCAGAGTTATGGGACCAGTGTGCCAATCATGTAAGATAATTGCAGAGAAGAAGTGTCTATATTTTTTTAACCCATTCCCTTCAGTAGTTTTGAAGATACAAACATGCACCCAACAATTTAACCCCAAGACGGCCACATGGATACACATTTTTCACATACTGTGATGCAAACTAACCGACCGCACCGCTTCTATTTTTTTAACCCATATTTTTGTAAAGGTCCTTAAACTTGTGTAAGACACTGCCTGTGTATACAAACCATTGAAGTAAAGTAGAAAAGCTATCCTACAATTAGCAAGGAAATTTATAAAGTTATAAGATTTTTGTGATAAAAACCACTTAAATTGCCTTCCTCTCATCTCTCTGCATGTACAAAAAAAACCAAGAGCAGCTAGAATATGTTCTGTATAGCAACACACAATACATGTCCAACTTGCCAGAGTAAAACTGCTTTAACCACTAACTTGCACATAAAATCAAAGTTACATGTACAAAATTAAATGTCCATGTGTGTGTGTGTTTTTTTTTTTATCAACCCTCTTGTATTTTTAAGGTATTCCGCACCTGAAATCAATAAATGTGCCACTCTGACTAACATTATGTTTATTTGTGTGTAATTATTTCATCTAGTTTAATCGCTCCAAATACGACGGTATGCAAATTTCTTGTAAAACACTCAATATTGCATTCTCTTCAGAACAGTTAAGTATTTACAGGAAATTAAATATCCAAGTTAATTTGAGGAAAATAAAGATAAAGTATGTAAAAAATATTAATCAATTTTTCCAAGTATTTTCCCCTTCTGTTAAGACCGGACAGAAAGTATTCAAATTGTAAAAATGTAAATGAAGACAATGCAGGGATATAAATTTCAAAGAATATAACATCATAGTTACATAGTGTGAGGCACATTATTCAAAGAGTAATATTACTTACTGGAAACATAAAAGGTATTTATTTTTGTGAGATTATTTATAGTGTTGGAGCGTCACACAACCCGCCATTTTCCGGTACTTCCGGTAGGTGCCTTGCATTATTTTGCCATTTTAAGATGGATAATTCAATTCATCACGTCGATTTAAATATGATCATGAATAAAAATGTAAGAATTGCCGAAAAAAGTGATATTTTTACCGAAAAAGCACCGATAATTTTCTACTTTGCGTACATGATTTTTGTCAAGCTTCTAGAGGTTCTGCTCCAACACTGTAGTGTAGAGATAAATAATTATTTTAACCATTTTAAAATTTTATAAAATACCTATTGTTTTTTCTCTTGTATCACAACAATTTCAACAATAAGTAACAGATAATAACTTATAAATAATAAGTATACTTAACATGCTTGTATAAATGATTTATTTTTGATTATTTCATTAGACGAGATTTCCTTAATAAACAGCACATGGTTTCAATTTTCTTCGAAAAGAAAAACATGGTATTTTTGAAGATCTAAAGTATGCAGGATTAAATGCGATTTTACTTAATAATAATAATGATAATAATAATAATGATGATAATAGTGATAATACTGATGATGATAATATTAATAATAATGATGATGATAATAATAATTATGATAATAATAATAATAATTATAATAATAATTATAATAAAATTAATAATAATAAAATTGATTATAATAATAATTATATTAATAAATTTGTTTACAGTAAGACTGCTTATTTATTACAACAATTATAAACGTTTTATCTCTATATAAATGATATCACGTTGTACTATTATTTGGCGCGCTTTTCATTTTGTATTAGCTAGGTTAAAATGTCTTTTCAAACATTTCTTTGTGTATATTAAAAAGAAAATTTGTTTTTGTTTAGTTTAGTGTATTTCACCTCGTGATCACCAAAAGTTAATATGAGCCGCGTCATGACAAAACCAACATAATGGGTTTGAAACCAGCATAGATCCAGACCAGCCTGGGCATCCGCGCAGTCCGATCAGGATCCATGCTGTTCGCTTACCAACACTATTATATGTGGGGAAACTGAAAGCAAACAGCATGGATCATAATCAGACTGTGAGGATGCACAGGCTGGCAGGCTGGTCTGGATCCATGCTTGTCGGACTATTTCTTTTTTTTTTTTCTTTTTTTTGAAATGTTTTGAAATGCAGTAGCACAAAAAGGGTAAAATCAAAAGACGATTGTATTTTTCAGAATGTTTCAAGCACCAGATTACTCATTGGAAGCTGCATCAATGAAGCTGTCAGAAGTTCTCGCTGATATAGGTGTGGATACCAGAATGGTACTAAAAAGGAGGAGAGCAATGCTTCTTATGGAATCAGCTGTAATGCAGTCTTACTTGGTATTTTTGAGAAACCATATTTATCGTCCCTATATGATGGGTAGTCAAATTGAAGGCACAACTACATTAGGACTAAACTCAGATACTGACATTATTTTATGTCATAACATGTACCGTGTGATACAAGATTGGAGTGACTGGCAACCCGGTATAACAAATCTACTGATGATTCAAGATCGTTCTGTATCTCCAGGTTATTGTCGACTTCAAGTGTTAAGACGTGATTCTCCTCTACCTATCCGACGTTATAGGTCTGTACCTGCCCTTCGTTCCAGTTGCAGAAGAGACAGAAATGGTAGAATATTACTGAAAAATTCTTTGGCATCTCATTTATTGTGTTCTGATCCTCATGAAGGACTAGAAAGACATGGGCCAGCAGTAACAAGCAACAATTCTGCATTTGAGTATGATTGCGTTGTTGCCCTTCCCTGTACAACATGGCCATTACAAGCTAGACAATGGATGCACCAACAAAGTGTCGGTCAGTGGCCTTCTGATGAAATTAAACATTACTGCTGTAGTTCTGGATGTTTTCTTGTTGGAGTTGGTCAACATGGCAGTGAAGATGAGGAGCTTGAATGGAGAATATCAACATCTTTAGCCGAAAGATGTTTAATGTACAATCTAAACAGAACACAGATTCGCTGCTATGTCTTGATGAAAATGATAATAAAATCATTCTTAAATCCATTATTAAAAGAAGCAATTTCTAGTTACATGTGTAAGACAGTTTTGTTTCACTGTATTGAAAATACCCAGTCTATCATCTGGCAGGAAAAGAACTTAATTGTATGTTTATCATTGTGTATTCATAACTTGTACACTAACATTCTTAATGAAAATTGTCCACATTTTATCATACCTGGAAACAACTTGATGAGAGGGAAGATTACACCTGAAATCAAACCTTTTATACTGGATATATTTCAGCGTATCATCAAAAGTAATGGGTTAGCACTTCTAGGAATCAAATGTGATGATCTTGGTACAAGGCTTCAGCTCAAGTTCAACAATATATGCCCATTAAGAACATGTGGAGATATTTCAGTAAACCTACTATCCTTAATAGCTAACCATCTTACTATTGAGTCTGCCGAATTTAGCCATTGTATCTATTGGAATACGGACCCAATACAAACATTAAAGCAGAGAATTTCTGATCTAGTCAGTCTTCAATGTCATGGACAAGACAAGACAGCTCTCAATCTTCTAGCGCCAAGGCTCTGTACAAGGCTAGGATCTGTTTTAGCTTCCCTCAACATACAACAGTATAAGACAATATCAGCTGAGGCTCTTAACTGGATCTCCCTAGGTCTAAATACTGATGTTGCATCTGGTAAACTCAAACTTGCTTCGATGCTATACTGTACAGGGAAGTTTCGAAAGGCTGAAATTATTCTGTGTGATATTGAGAGGCACTACGACCTTGACATTGTTGAGCCATTTTGTCGAACACATAAATACAGACAAACCAGAAGGCAAGGTTTTAAAGCACTATGTGATCAACAAAATGAAGAAGCTTTACAAAACGCAACAGCAAATTGTGTACAATTTTGGCCATGTGAAGTCTATTGTTCTCCAAAGGAATTAAGACAGGAAATGTTCAGATCTACAGAAGAAGACAAAGCTTTCAGAACAATACAAGACTTCTGGATGGACTATGCTGAAGTGGATTCTCTAACTTTTCTCTTCTTTCTACAGTACAAGATATGCAGCCATCTCAACAAACAGGAAGATAAATGTGCGGCACTCTCTAAACTTACCAAAACCATTGAACAAGAACCAAACCTTGCTCATCGTGAAACAGCCTTGAATTTGTTGGGGCAGTGCATGGAACAGGAACACAGACAGGTAAATGCGTTCCAGTGTTATTCCCTGTCACTGAATATAAGGAGGAGAAACAATGCTGCAAAGATTCATATCTGCAGACTTTTGAGTACACTTGTAAACAATCAGTAATTAAAAACAACGCATAGATGATTAACAGGACATTTGTGGCTTAACATCTTCTTCTAAACTAGGTGCTAATGCACCGTATATGGGAGAATAAGTATTTTGTTGCAAAGTGGTATAACTGCCAATTTTAAAATGACAGTAACAAAAAAATCCTTGTTTTGCATAGAAAATGAATAGCTTATAAAATTTATATAAACATACACATATCATTAAAACAATTTCTATAATTATAACTTAACATAAATATAAAATGTAAAATTTACGTACCTACCACACAATATTCCCAACTCTCTTCTTCACTTCCTGTTGGTGATTTGTAGCACCAGGGTGGGGGGAGGGGGGTCACGTTTCCCTAAAGTATTCCTTTAGTAGTTCGAGTCCAGGCCGTCATACCGGAAACGATCCGACGTAAACGTACGGAGATGACGGTTCCAAGGGACGCAACTGTGACCGGACTTAGTTATGACATAAAACACCGTTATCGTGGAGTATGTAGTAGGTCCACCAAATAATGAATTAAGAAAAAAACAGCAAATAAAAAAATAATTAAATAAATAAATAAGAATAAAAAAGAAAGGAAAAAGAAAGGCACATTAAGCCTTAGAAAGGTATTTTCCTTTATTTCTGTAGAAAGGAAAGCATAAGTATATGTTTTATAATGTTACAATGAATTAAGTGCATCAAAATAAAATAACGCTGAACGTAAAATGATTTGTATTAACGTACGGCAACAAAATGAAAGCAAATATAGTAGTATTTTGACTTCGATCCATGTAATCAATATTATAAATTTAATATTAATTGCCAATATGCAAAAGACGCAAAATATATGGCACAACGAGATACGAGTTGGAAACTGTAACTAAACATCAAATATAAAAAGCTTTGGACAAATTTAAAATAACACTTTTATATTAGAAATGGCCAACAAGCTGGCGTTTCAAGACGAGTAAAAAAAGTGAAAATTTTGAATGAAGAGTTCAAAAAATAAAAACAAAATGCTCCTCATCAGTTCATTTGACGTTGTGCAATTTTTTAACGAAAAATATGACCGAAATAACTATTTAATCATGCTATTAACGAATTATTGTGGACAATTGAACATAATGTGTTGTAAACGTTGTTGAGTAAGATACAAATAATCTATGTCCAAGCTGAAATTAAATATGACTCATCAAATGACCCGCGTCACGACAAAACCAACATAATGGTTTGCGACCAGCATGGATCCAGACCAGCCTGCGCATCCGCGCAGTCTGATCAGGTGCTGTTCGCTATCAGTTTCTCTACTTGTTATACGGTTTGTAAGCGAACAGCATGGATTCTGATCAGACTGTGCGGAAGCGCAAGATGGTCTGGATCCATGCTGGTCGCAAACCCCTCAAATTGCCTTGTCTTTAAGAAACACTGCGCATGCGTTTTATGAATAAACAAATTAGATATAATGAATAATATTAAAAGTCTCATTCTTATTTAAAAATCCAAGTTATTTTACAAATAGAACAAAATCAATATAAGTTATCGTCCCGAAATAAATTTACACTAGTTTGTCTATTTCGTCCAGCTCAAAATTTCATTAGTTAACGCCTGAACTTGAACTATCGCGTGCAACTAGCGAAATTTAAAGTGGTCGAGAGGGGGCCGTACGAATAAACAAGAGCTGTCGGAGGACAGCAATGCTCGACTATTCGATAGAGTTGTCACAAGGATGTTTCATTGAGTCAAAAGGAAATAAGTAAATCAGAGTTAAGGGACCTGTGCCAATCATGTTAAAAATTACAGTGAAAATGTATATTCAGTTTCATTCCATTCCCTTCAGTAGTTAGGAGATACCAGCTTACAAGAAAAAAGTTAACCATGAGTTTCCTTGAGTATAAAAAGAGGTATAAATTTCGAAATAAGCCAATCAGAGATGTCCGATGACAGCATGCTCGACAATTAGAGCAGTTATCAAAATAATGACATTGGACTAATGGAAAAGACAGAGATTGAATACAGGTCTACCTTTTGACAGACCAGCACTCCACTTGTGCGCTAGCCAGGCTGGTTTAGTGGAAACACATTTTATATTTATCAGAATATCATTATGAACATGACTTTTGAAAAGAAGTTTGAAGTACTGCAAGTGAAAATTGAAATATTTATTCAAAAAGATGCAGTTATATATGAAACAACTGGTTCTTTTATAAGTATTTATGAAGATACCGTCATAAACTTAAGTTAAGTTACCAAATCATAAAAGCAAATAAACATTTGAACAAAGCAAAAACACTTTGGAACAAAGTACAATTTCGGTCAAATTGCAATGTGTAAAGGTGTCTTAATAAAGATGTGAATAATTATGATAGCAAAAGAAATTCTGTACACAAGAGTACATATTAACTATAACAAGAGCCCAGTTTGAACGGGATGATTCTCCCCGAATAGGTTTTTGACACAGGAAAGTACACCTCTTAAAGTTTCAGAGTTATGTCCCTGGACAAAGTGCAATAATCCCAGAATAAGGCAAGGCAGATCAACTGTTCTTTGCACTGGACCTCTAATAGATGAGATCTATCTACCTACAAAGATGGGGCTGAACAAAGTTATGGTTCTTTTCCAATAAGATCTATCTACCTACAAAGTTTCATGTTGATATCTCTTAAAATTTGCGAGTAATGTTCCGGACAAAGTTTAAAGTGTAAAATGAAAAAAGGGCAATAATTCAAAAATTAGGCATGGCAGAGGTACCGTTCTTGTGCACTGCATAGCTAACTATTGAGATCTATCTACCTACAAAGTTTCATCTTTATAGCTCATAGTTTTAGAGTTATGTCCCGGGCAAGATTTTTCTAAAAGGGGAGATAATTCAAAAACAGGGCTGAGCAGAGGTATTGTTCTTTTGCACTCGCTTCCACCCAATGAGACCTATCTACCTACAATGTTTCATGTTGTTATGTCTTATAAATTGCGATTACTGTTCAGGACAAAGTTCAAAGTGTAAAAATGAACAAAAGACAATAACTTTAGAGTTATGTCACGGACAAGATTTTTCTAAAATGGGAGATAATTCAAAATAGAGTTATGGTTCTTTGAAACTGCACTCTGCCTCGATGTCCTCTACCACTGTTATTCATTACGTGACAATTACGTGAACCATCTTCTTTTTCTGTTACCTTCTGGCAATAAGTACAGCTCTTTTGATTCAATTTTTGTATGGAAGTCAAAATACTACTTTGTTTTCATTTTACTACTTTTTTAACAAATAATTTTACATTCAGTGCTACTTTTTCAGGTGATAAGCATTTAACATGGTCTAAGACTATTAATAAATCGTAAAAAAATAATTAGCATGCATGGTTACCCTTTCCAAAGAATGAAATACTTCTTCGTTTCTGAGGCATAATGTGTGATAAAAAAATTTTGTGGGCTGATGCTCGACTGTTCACATCCTTTAGAAAAAAAGACAACGTTTTGAATCGTGTCAGCCAAGTTCGTTTTTATAATCAGTTAGGAAAACACAGCAACATTCTATGGAATTTTGAAAATACCTCGTACATGCTGATAATTTGTTTGTTTGTTTTGGGTTTAACGTCACATCGACACAGTATAGGTCATATCGCGACGTTACATGCTGATAATTTTGTGAACTCCTATGTAAGATTGCATGCAGCATGTATGCTTATGAATCCCGTTATTATGGGAATTCGCCAACTAGAACCTTAAATTTATTTTGGGTTGGGTTTAACATCGCACCAACACTGTCAAGGAAATATGGCTACTGTGGAGAAAGGCCTCAGGTGTCCATCCATTCATTATTACAGATACGAATGACAGCTGAGCAGAACTACAAACGTGGATAGGTTCCCCATATGAAACAAACCGATAGTCCCTGGCGGGATTCCAACCCACGGCGGTGACGGGCAAGTTCAGTTTGAATACGCTGTTGACAGTGACGTCTGTTTGGAATGACAGTATGTTAGGGTCACTGACACTGTATGCCACGCTCCAATAAACATATTCTTATAATGTAACGACTTACATTGACGTCACGATTAACGTGACGAGTTGATTCTGTCGTCAAAAACAGGTCACGTTGATGACGTTGACAGGTAATCATTTCCTTATGGCAGATGAAATACAGGTTTTTGTTTTGGCTAACACATGTACACGAATATTTTAAACTGCTAGTACAGCATGGTATTAGTGCAGAGCCGACGATGGCCTTGGTAATCATAATAGTCAACAAAAATACGTGTATTTTATTTTAATGGGTGCTCGGCTACTCATTTTCAATTGTTTTCTTAAACAAGAGCCACCAACGGGCGGGGGCAACGCTCGACTTTTTACTTTTTCTAAAAGCAAAACAGAACCGTTTGAACAAATCTTAACGTTTCCTTTTTACAATGTTAAAAGATCTGTCTTGTCACACGAATTTTGTCAAAGTATGAATCCTTTCCATATATAAATGACAACAGTAAGAAAATATCAAAATCCAGAAGAAAAAAAACATATATCCATTCAATAATAGCAAAGTAACAGCAAGTTACAGCCAAAAATATGAAAAATTCAATAATTTGACCTTTAAAGTCAATGTCATTTATGAGTGAAGGTCAAGGTCTGTCTAGTTAATTTAAAGGGCTATTCTTGAAGATAATTATGTTCAAGTTTGAAGACAATCCATTCAAAAATAACAGTTATAGCCAATAATAGCAAGAACAAGCAAAATTTGGACATTTGACCTTGAAGGTAAAGGTCATTTATGGATGAAGGTCAAGATTAGTCTGGTCAACTTAAAGGACATACAGAGGCCATTCCTATAATCCCCTTTCCGCTACGCAGAAGGGGATTAAAAAATATGGCAAATGAGTTTTGTAACGCATGTGTCACTTTTGTTTACATACTGCAATATTTTGTGGTAGTGAAGTCAAACAGTTATGTTTGTTTTCTCCATTTTACAGTTTTGTGATAAAAAGAATAATAAAGTCAAGTAGATTCGGCATCAAATTTATTGAACTTGCTTAATAAAACCATTATAATGCCTACTAATCGTTGCCATCTTAATCAACTAATTCAATACAAAATCCACACTCGTTTTATTTTTTTACAAAGATTTATCTAGGTTACTTAAAACAGAATGATCTACATCTACATCTATATCATACTGCTTAACAATCAATTCTGATTATGACAAGCAGGCGCGTTGTCAGGGAACTGTTAATGAAAGAAATTATTTAAATGCAAATTAAAAAGTTAAAAGATCTAAAAGTTCTACAAAACTATTAATTTAAAAACATAGTGTGCGATTTAGAATTTATATAATGGGTCAAGCCTCTCAGTAAAGATGTTTAAACTAGGGCTAGACTGAATAGTTAGAGGAAGGCTATTCCAAAGACGTATGCTCCTAGAAAAGAAATAATTATGATGGTATCGTGTTCTCTAGTAAGGTATCAGGTAGTTCAGATTTCTTGTTTGAGTAATTAAGTGTTGGTGGTCAACAAAAACAATGTTGTTTTGGATTTTATACAAGTAGGTTACAGCACTGATGTTTCGACGCTGTTCAAGGGTTTGCCAATTAAGATCATTTATCATTTTTGAGACACTACTTGTATAGTCATAATCATTAAAAATGTATCTAGCAGCTGATCTTTGTACTTGCTCCATCTTATAAATTAAGTATTTCTGCCAAGGATGCCAAACTATGGAGCAATATTCAACCTGAGGTCTAACATAGGTCTTATATGCAGTTTCTTTTATCTTTTTATTTGGAGTTTTAACATTTCTTCTAATGAATCTGAGGGAGTTATTTGCTTTGTATGTGATGTTGTTTATATGTTTGGTCCATGAAAGGTCTTGACTAATAGTGACTCCTAAGTATTTCGCTTCTTGAGTTGAGTTAAGTTGGATGTTATGGAGGGTATAAGGAAATATTACAGGGTTTCTTTTTCTTGTTATCCTGAGAACTTCACATTTGTCAGGGTTGAATTCCATGGACCAGTCTTTTTCCCATTTTTCTAAAATATGCAAATGATTAAGTAAATTAAACATGTATACTCAGTAATAAGATGAATTTGTATTTTGTGCTATTCTTAGCTGCATTTGAGTGAAAAGCATTGCAACGTTATTAAATGAGAGTCATTCTATACAATATGATCAAATATTTTGGATAAACAAAGTGCAAAGTGAACTTTTTTCAATGATCAAGAGGGAGATTTGTCTTCAAAAAGAGAGGGCTTTTAGAATTTGCAATAAACAAAAAAGAAAGTTCTGATATCAAAAAATGGGAGATTTCTTTAATTAGAAAAAACATCTCTTATTTTAAGAAAAATCTTTGTAAATATGGCTGCAGGAAGTGGGAAGTCTCTCGCTAAAAGAGCGAGAGTTCACATGTAAAGTGAGCGAATCATCTAATATTTTGCCCAGAAGTTATTGGTCTAAACCTACATCAAATGGAACATTGATCTTGAAAAATAAGTGACAGTTCCGTCATGTCAAGAAACCTCACAAGAGTCCCTTTAATATTGAGACTTCAGTGGAGTCCCTTTAATATTAAGACTTCACTGTTAGTGAGATAAAAACTCCACACAAATATTCGATATTCAGTCTTTTATTGCTTTATTATCTGTTTAAAAATTTGCCTAGAGAATATAATATAAAATTTATACTATATTTCAAATATTAAGTTTTTCCACTTTTATACATGCTTCATCCATTGTTCTTGCTACATTATCACCTTCGGTTGCCCTACCATCATCTTTAAGAACATCCCCACTTTTCTCACTTTGTACAATTTTATCTGTACTGTCATATGCATTACTATTTTTAGAACATGTGTTATCACTGTCATCATTTGCTGTTCTATTTATAGAATCATTTTCTTGAGATTTGATTGGTTTAGCCAATTGATCAGTCCTTCTAAGGTGACACGCCTCTTGATACGGTGGGTTAATAGGTGACTGGGTTGGTTTGTGGTACTCATAATCTCTACCTGGAAGCTGATAGAATAAAAACAACAAATTTGTATGTTAACCTTACATTTACCCTTATTATTATTAAAGGAACTCCACGGAGCCTGAGGTCTAAAAGCCATACAAACATCAAATTTTAACTTTTACATAGAGCTGGAGCACTTAAATAAACAAGAACCGGTTGATCAATGAGATCTGTCTATCTTTAAAGTTTTGTGATGATATCTTTTATAGTTTCAGAGTTATGTCCCTGGTAAAATTTCAAAGTGTAAAAATTAACAAAGGGCAATAACTACAAAATTAGAATGAGATCTATCTACCTACAAAGTTTCATGTTGATATCTCCAATAGTTTTAGAGTTAAGTCCCGGACAAAGTTCAAAGTGTAAAAATAAACAAAGGGCAGTAATTGAAAAACTAGGGAAGGCAGAGTTACGGTTCTTGTGCACTGAAGATCTATCTACCTATAAAGTTTCATGTTGATACCTCTTATAGTTTTAGAGTTATGTCCCGGACAAAGTTCAAAGTGTAAAAATAAACAAAGGGCAATAATTCAAGGCAAGGCAGAGATATGGTTCTTGTGTACTAACACCTACTCAATGAGATCTACCTACCTACAAAGTTTCATGTTGTTACCTCTTGTTGTTTCAAAGTTATGTCCCGGACAAGAAAAGCTGACATCCGGACAGACAAAGCGTCGACTATATGCTCACCTTTTGGGCAGCATATAAATATACCAAATCATATTTTTGAGCCAAGGCTTTTCAATTTTGGGTCATTTTTCACAATTAGAATAATCATTCTGGAAAAACAGATTGAGCAAATGATCTGAAATTTTGCACACAAGTTATTGGTCAAGACCTACATCAAATGGAAAATTAATAATGAAAAAAATATTTTCTTTCAAGTTATGCTTAACTATGATGTTAACAATACTGTACCTTCAGTGGGTAGTTTTTGTCTGAATCAAAGCCACTCAAGTCTCCACAAGCTAGGAAAGGAACAATAACTCTGTTTGGTCCAGTCAAATTGTTGTAGTCTAAGTCTATAATGTATAACAGATAATCAGATCATATTTAGATTCATTAGTAATAATTTCAGACACATTTTTATTTATATTATTTATTGACAGAACTTTAAATTACACATCTAGAGAGATTTTTAATGTGTTTAAAAGAATGTTATTGTTTTCAAGAAGGTAAGTCAGGGGTGTGAAATTACTATGCCTGACTCGGGACTTTTTGCTGGCGGACAAGTAGATTTTAACTTGGTACTTGTCCGTGGACAAGTGTAATTCTGAGCCTGAAAAAAAAACAACATAATGTCGAAACATTTAATCTGTGTTTGAATTGCATGAATTTTATTTGTACACCATCTCCAACAGCACAAATAAATAGATACTATATACCATGCTATTTCACTTCCTACAAGGCCTCTCGCTTCTATTACAAAACAAGCTTGGCCATTGGTAGTATCAAGGCAACCAAATGTTTTGATACAAAATGGTTAGGTTTAAAAATAATCTGAAAAGGATAAATCAAATGTGTAGAGGGGCAAAAATATGATGGCAAACAGATTCCTGTTTAAAGAAAGCTACCTGAGTACTGATTTTTACTTGTACTATGCAGATATGACTATGGTCCTTTACGTACAGAAATCATTAATAAGAAAGGACAATCTTACATAGCATCAAATGTTGCCCAAATGTGCCATGCATGTTCAAATACAAGTTTTAGCAAAACCCCAGTAAACAAGGACCTATTGGTAAAATAAAGCCCTATAAAAAAACATGTTTTTCACTATTTATTTATACAAGTGAATTTAGCTGCAGACAAGAAGAAAATTTAGTCCAACTTGTCCGTGGGCAAGTGGAAAAAATCGAAAATTCCACACCCCTGGGTAAGTACATGTTTGCCAGTGTTAAATCAAGTATTTAAAACTGAAACCAGTAAAACATTGTAAGTACTTTTGAACTTGTGTGCTTTTACTCTATTTTTCATGAATTGAATTTAGTTTTAAATAATAACACACCTTAACACTACCAAGAATAGCATTTAATTCAATGATAATTCTAACACAAACTGCTGTTTTCCCTATTGAACATAGAAGAACAGAAAGTGTGTGTTATAATACAACAAAATCACTGTTGACGTTCTATACTTAGATATGTGATGTATGTTTATCGTTCGGATGCACATCATTTTATCACTCAGGTTACGCCCTCTTGATATATATTGAGCAATAAAATCACAGTATAGGAAATATTATTTCTTAATTAATCCAGAATGATAATGATATAGGAATGAAAAGATAATCAACAATTGAAGATGTTGACCATGATGATGATGAAAGAGTGATGACTAAGAAAGAATGATGATGGTAAAGAAATGATAATGATGATGAAAGTATGATGAAGAAATGAAAAAATAATAATGATGATGATGATGATGACTATGTATAAATGATGATGGTGAAGGAAAGATGATGGCTAAGGAGTGATGATGATATATCAACTTACCATAATGATGATCAAGTAAGGGGTTTGCCATGTTTGGTGTATAACCCTCTGGTGGAGAATAACCCTGACACACTACAAATGCCTCTGTAAGTAAATAAATGAGCCGTGTCTTGACAAAACCAACATAATGGGTTTGCGACAAGCATGGATCGAGACCAGCCTGCGCAGTCTGATCAGGATCCATGCTGTTCGCTTACAAACCCTATTACAAGTAGAGAAACTGATAGCAAACAGCACAATCTCATTAAAATCATATCCTAACTGTCGCTTCACTTCCCTACGCTAGTACGTAGCGCAGAGTAACGGAGCGAAAACGATGATCTGATTTTAATGAGATTGCAAACAGCATGGATCCTGATCAGACTGCGCGGATGTGCAGGCTGGTCTGGATCCATGCTGGTCGCAAACCCATTATGTTGGTTTTGTCATGACTTGGCTCAAACATTGTTTAGGAAGCCTCTAAAAACAAGGCGTGCAGTCCAAATGTATACTGCTAATAAAATTTAAGTGAGTTTTTTTTTAGAAACACAATGAGCAAAACATCTTCTCTTGAATACAAATTGCAGATCAGACCAATATAATCAAATGATGAGAATATCAATATCATATATTACATGTACAATATATCTTTATAATTTAAACTAGATTTTGGTTAGTATTTCTAACCAAAATATTTGAATTTTAGTTTTAAGTCATCATGCAATAGTGTGAGAAATTACAAGTTTTACTTGGTGTAGAGACCACAAGTGTCTGTGTATTCAGTTACAATCACAAATATCCTTGAAGACAAAACATTCAGTGGCTTGGCCAAGTGGTTAACACGTCGGACAAGTAATCTAAGGATTGCTGACTATCTGGGTTCAAACCCTGTCACGGCAAGCCTTTGTTTCCTTAAAGGGGCAACATTCGCTGCCGCCGCAGCAAGTATTTGTGGGTGGGACTAATCAGTGATGTAAAACTATCTGTTATAAACCATGAGCTAAAAATAGAATGCAGTGTTAACCTGCAGAGAGAATGTAAACAAAACAGCATATTTTACACAGGAGAGGTTTAATGGATGTTTTATATAACTCACAGATAAATCAGATTAATTAAAAGACATTATCAAGCCATCTTGTCCAGATATTATTTTTAAAGTCAGTTGTTTTTCATCAAGTCAGACAACTATGTCCAAATCCAAAAGGATGTGCCTTACATGGGACATTTCTTTTAAGAAAAACTGCTAAAAATGATCTTGACAGGAATTTTAAATATTTTTAAACTATTAATATATAAAAATTTTATACAAATGATAAACATTTGTGAAATGTAATTTTGACTACAAGATATTTACAACAAAATATAGTGTAAATGAAATATACCTGGAAGTTACTTTTACTGTTTTCATGAAGTTTAAACCATTTAAATACAAGTTGAATCAGTACTTTGAAATTCAAAAGAAATCATAGATTAATGGATTATTGTAAATTTGTTGGATATAAATACTTTTTGATAAAGTAAGATCAGTAAAAGTTATTGTTTTTTATCATGTATTCAGCATTAGAATGTGTCGTCTGCTGAAAATCTCCCTCCCTGAAATATATATCGTCTGCTACAAATCTCTCTCACTGAAATAAACACTGCCACGTGCATCTGTTTACTACTGAAGGTTCATGACCTGTAATGATCAGTTGGCTCCTCCCATGGAAATTCAAATTTCAAATTTGACAGCCTGTATTTTTTTCCAGAAACACACATAACATAGTTTTATTTTGAATAATTTTGGTCAATCTATATCAAGAATATCTATGCCTACATACATGCCAAGTGTTGTTTAAATGCATTTGGTAATTAATCTTAAATCTTTGAAAAAGGGTCCCTGAAGTGAAGCATGCATAAAATTAATAAGAAACCTGCCCTAGCGCCATCTGCTGGCTTTTATAGTCCAGTTGGGCCTTTAAGCAAGAAACTTTACATTCATTGCTTAGTATTGGTTGGTTCCAGGAACAGTTTCGGGCATGTTTTAATAAGCTTATAGTTTCCAGCACAATCAGACGAAAATAAACTTGTATAAACTAAACTAAACAATCAGTGTGGATAGCATGACTATAAACTAAATGGTTATTTTTTTATTTGACATAAATGTGCTCTTTCCTAGAATTTAGCTGTACAAGGCACAAACTAGATAAAACTGAAGAACTTTATTACACGAGTTTGCTATTTTTAGATTTAACCTTGTACAAGCAAGCAGTTGAGTTCATGGCTTATGTTACAGATAAATAGCTCATTGAAATAACTTGTAGCATAGTTTGGGGACCTTTCTGTTGAAAATTTGTCAGAGTAAAATCGTATACATATACATGCACAATGCGTTAACTGGAGTGCGTGTATAGTGCACCCCAGAGCATGCCTCTTGATTAGTTCATTTTTGCTGGGGTTTACATATTGTGACGGCAGAGAAAGGGAAAGCGACAGAAATGTCATATTCAGATGTTGGTTCATTGGTTCCTTTTTGCCGGGTTTCATATTGTGACAACAGGGAACATGTTTTTATTTTTTCCTGGCGGAAGATCATCAAAACACCTGCAATCTGATTATAACTCAGGGGGCTAAGCCCCCTCGTATAAATCAGATAGCCTCGTGTTTCGATGCTCTTTCTATTACATAACCTACCTATACTGGAGTTTCTACTGCTCCTTGGTTTGAACACAGACACAAGTGGGAAAAATATCTTAAGTTGTGAGTAAAGTAGAGAAACATCTTTTCCTCGAAATATCTGAAATTAGATAAGCAATGTGTAGGTTTTATACTAAATTTATTAAATTGAATTGCCTTTGGTATAAAATGCTAACAATTAGCATGTCTTTACGCTATGTTTGTATAACACAAATTATGTTACGTTTAAATATATGCCTGGCCATGCAATACCATTTCTACTAGGTCGCAAAATTGGCACATGTATGTGATAAATTTACTTTTATACATGTACAACTTAAAATATACTTCATAGCAAACAAGAAATGTTTGTTTAATGTTTGTTTAATTGGGTTTTACATCACACCGACACATTATAGGTCCTATGGTGACGTTCCAGTTTAACTGGTGGAGGAAGACCTCAGGTAACCTTCCGTGCATTATTTCAGGCATGAACGGGCTCCCAAGTAGAACCATCAATGTCCTGTAAGCTAGCTGGATAGCTTTCTCACATGAAAGAATCCAAGGTCCCTGTCGGGAATTGGAACCCACAGGCGGTGAGGGGCAAGTGGTTTGAAATCAATGCCCCAAACAAGAAATGTTATTCATGTATATATGGATATGACACTATGTAATACAAGTATGCCGCTTGATGATTGTTTATTCTGAGCAGCACCTCTACTATCTAAAATATCTTATCCATTACAAATTGACAGTAAGTTGAACTTTAATATCTCCTTCACTTAAATAATTCAATTAAATATTTTTTTTTTGAAATTGAAAATGTATCTTTTTGTTCAGAAAAGTTGTTTAAACAATCAAGTTTTAAAGGTAAAATTTAAGCTTTTTACTTCCAAAGCACTGAAATTTTCACCACAATTACACTTAGATTCACAATCATCTTATACAATTTCCCATATTTGGGATAGTATAATTATGAAACATTTGTTTTAATATTGCATTTAAATTTAGCAGTTCATTGCTTTGAAAATTGCAATGATATTGTTTGAAAAGTAACACAATTGCTCTTTACAATACACCTAGTGGTTGGTCAAGAAGTATTAAAGATAAAATACTTTGTACATGTAGCAAGCTGGCTCATCTGAACTATCTTGGTTACAACTTGATTACTTATTGCTACAAGTCCAAAACTAATAGTCAACTATTTCAGTTTGTAAAACAATATCTTAGGTATTAACCAACCTTAGCTACAAACGTTCCTCCATTCTTCAACACATGGGTGGTGATATTCAAAGCCTGTAAACATAAGATAATCTTGATACAAGAGCTCCAAACGGCATAAACCCTTATTTGTTAAAGGACATCAACTATTAAAAACAAATTTTGACATAAAAAAATAATCTAGATTAAACAGAGGCATAACTTAAAAAATAGGTTTAAGAATAAAGAAACTTGTGCTACAACTTTACTCATGATAATCACGTTTATCAGGATTTGTTTGGATACATATTATAATGATTGACTCCATTAAGGTTTTGTACAATGACGATGCTGCATGACCACAACAGTAGACTACAATAGTAGCTTGGCTTTTTATTTGAAACAGACAATTTAAAATATACTTCCATAGCCAAAATGTAGACCAATACAACTTTCTTCAAAACACGCAAAAGATCTACACAAAAAAACTTTGAACTTTTCATATATCTATGTCAATGAAGAGCATATCAGATACACTAAATTCTTTCTTTGACGATTAAGTATACTATGACACTATTTTAAAGCCAGTGGCCTATTTCTGAAACAAGCAAAATGACTTATTTCAGAATGCCAACCTGAGGGAAAACTTCATTTATAGGTCAATAACCAAAACTTCTCTGCCAAAAAGATACATGTATATTTGGAATGCAAAACAACTTCTTCCCACCTAATTTTACAACCTTTATTTCAAGTAACAACTTTTCAAAGAACCTTCAAAATAGGTAACGTACATTTTTAGGTAGCAGTATATATATATATACAAAAACACACTTACAGCAAGAAGAAGCTGGGCTTGAATATACTCATCAATGTCATGTAAACCTGTCACTGTAAAACAAAACATAAATACCATCTTTTATAACTGATTGTTTGAAAAAATATTTTGGGGTTGCATTTTATGTCGCACAAACACAGTATAGGTCATATGGCAACTTCCCTGCTTTACTGGTAAAAGAAGAGTTCAAAACCTAAGGTGCTCTTCTTTGCATTATTTCAGGCACAAACAGGCACCAGAGTAGAACACTGACGTAGCACAAGCTAGTTGGGTAGATTCCAGAAATAATCCAAAGCCCCTGTCTGGATTCAAACCAACAGCGGTCAAGGGCAAGTCACAACAAGAGCTGTCGGTAGGACAGCAACGCTCGACTATTCTTAGTGCTTGATAGTAAAAAAAATGCTTGATACAGTTACCTCCTCCTGTTTACAGGTTGGGGTCATGATGGTGAACAAGTGTGCAAAGTTTCAAAGCCATATGTCAATGGACTTTGAAAATATTTGAACTATTACAAAAACTTTAACGTAAATTCTAAGTCGAAAAAGGGGCATAATTCTGTCAAAATGCTTGATAGAGTTACCCTCTCCTGTCTACAGGTTGGGGTCATGATGGTGAACAAGTGTGCAAAGTTTCAAAGCCATATGTCAATGGACTTTGAAAATATTTGAACTATTACAAAAACTTTAACGTAAATTCTAAGTCGAAAAAGGGGCATAATTCTGTAAAAATGCTTGATAGAGTTACCTCCTCCTGTCTACAGGTTGGGGTCATGATGGTGAACAAGTGTGCAAAGTTTCAAAGCCATATGTCAATGGACTTTTAAAATATTTGAACTATTACAAAAACTTTAACATAAGTGGTTACGCCGACGCCGACGCTCGGGTGACTGCAATAGCTCTACTTATTCTTATCGAATAGTCGAGCTAAAAAGGCTTATCATAAAAAAAGTTTAGAATGCTTATTGTAACATGTACATATTGTTAAAAAGTATATCTGACAAGTTCTTAAAGGAATATTACAATTGACCATTGTCGATTCTGTACAAAGGACACTGCACCATACTGCCTGAACTTTATGCCTACCACGTAACTGTGGTTCTTGTGAGCTTCTTACATAGACCGACTCATCAACTCATAATGATATACTAACATAATGTTGGCCCTAAGTAGGGGTGTAATGTTTATCTGTTTAAATGGCTACAGTCAGTTTTTAGCTGAAAACCAGTTAGAAAATTCAACTGAGCTAAGTTTTTGACAAACAGGAGGAGAAGTTTTAAATTGATTTTAAATATAACCTTCATTTTTATAACAAGATAGGACAATTTGTTTGTATTCAAGTTTTACTCAACAATGAATTTTCTCTGATCTGATCGAGTACAGTATGACCCTAACAGAAAATAGTTACCCTATATCGGATATGTATTATACTCAAAATACCATATTTTGTCATAAAGAAACAAAGTTAATTTCAAAAATCTAAAGATTTCATTAGTATGGTAGTTTAAAGATTTAACACGTTATTAGGTCACTGTTTAAACGGATAGCATTTTTCCAAACCATGGCAACCCTAACCCTATCACCCAAATTTATACATGTATATGTAAATACATGTTACGAAATATATAAATCCAAATATTTACCATCTGGTGCTCCGTCACACACAACAAGATCTGCCTGCTCTCCCTCAAAATGTCCAATTATCTCATGTGCTGTGCTTGTCTACAACGTATATTTTATACAATGTATATATAATTATATATTCAAACATAATTAATGTTCCTTGTGCAGTGTCAAAATAAAGAAACAACATCAGACTCCATAATCTCCATGTTTAAATCCATATTTCAATGTTAAACTCCACAATTTTCATGTCAAACTCCACAATTTTCATGTTAAACTCCATAATTTTCATGTTAAACTCCATGATTTTCATGTTAAACTCCATTATTTTCATAACATTAAAATTATTGAGATAGTATATTGTTATTTCGTAAATGTTTCTTTTTTTTATAATTTCATCACTGCATATACAAATATATTTGTGTAAATAAATGTTTATTAGCTCAACGAATTATCATAACTTTTACAGTTCAGTGTACATTAAGTAAAAAAAAAAATTAAGTTTTGTTAGTACCCTACTTTCCACTCTATGACAAACAGAAAGCCAAAAAATAGCCACAATTCTTTTGAAAATACCAGAATGAAAAATAATTTGAAATTTTAACACATTGTTGTATAATAATACTGCACTGTATGGTGGCCTGGTTTTTGAGCTATTCACTCAGGGGCTACATTTCTATGATAAACCTTTTCCCGAATATGGACGTGTTTTGACGATTTTTTGTCCCCCCCCCCTCCCCCTTTTCAGGCCTCAACCAGTGAAAAAATGCCCTATTTAGGCCCAAAACACTGTTGTTCTTTTAAGAAATGTTGTTAAAAAAAGATCACTTTTATGGCGCGGTCCCCCATCAAAATGATACATCAGGATGTGCCCCTTCTGTTTGAAGGGGTTTCATCGCCAAGAAAATTTGGACATGTGACAGGCTAAAAATGGCCTCAGGTCGATCTGAAGGCAACGTGTAACCAACGCTGAAAAGCCATTTACTCTATCTCAATGCTTTGAGAAGTTGCAGCACTTTCAGTTTTGATGGGAAAAAAAAACAATCAAAATAGTGATTTTTTGCAATTTTGAGACATTGAGACAATTTGTTGCCATGGTAACAGGAAATTTAAAATTGAGCATGCTGTTACAGAGGTTATGGTTCAGTCAACATTTGTGCCATCAGTATTGAAGCATTTATCATAGTTTTATAGCAGTTTGAACTTGTAACAGATGGCTTTTCAATGAAAACGGCCATTTTCACAATAATTATGCTCATGTGGTAAAAGGTTAATTACTTTGCATCTGAAATCCATTTTACTCCATTATCATGCTTAAATTTACTATTTTACTTATTTAATTGAGCCGCGTAATGACAAAACCAACATAATGGGTTTGTGCCTTCGCGCAGTCTGATCAGGATCCATGGTGTTCGCTTACCAACTCTATTACAAGTAGAGAAACTGATAGCGAACAGCATGGATCCTGATCAGACTGCCCGGATGCGCAGGCTAGTCTGGATCCATGCTGGTCACAAACCCATTATGTTGGTTTTGTTGTGACGCTGCTCAAATGTATTTTATAAGTGAATGTTATTGTATGAATTCTAGTATGTCTGGTTACCTTGGTAATATCTCCCTGTATTTGTATCACGCCTGGTATAGGTGCCATAGCTTGTAGATCAACAGCTACTATCTTAACACTATCATCCGTCTTATCTGATCCTCTATAAAATATCAAAAAACATAGTACAGGGTATGCTATAAATATATGCCAACACTTAAATTAGATTCAATATTGGTAATCATCAAAAATCTATATATGTATATTTTATATTGCACTGTTTATACTTACATGTTAATTTAGTCTTTACTTTTGCATGATGTGTATTTAATCAACATTAGATGAAGCAAAAGCTGTCAAAAGAACTGCAAACCTGACGTATTTAAGTGCTAGATAGTTGAAGAAGAGCCTGGAATGTCAAAGTCATCAAAAGGGAAGATTTCATTTAAAATACACAACAAAGGTAGGATAATTTTAAAGTGACCAAGGTATCAAAACTGTAACCAAGCACATGCACAATAATTAAACATTTCTGATATACAATTTCACATGGTAAGTTAATCATTGATATATACATGATTCTCACAAGCATACCTAAGCTTCCTCGCCAGCACCTGACTCCAGCTACCCGGCGCTGCACACAAGTCTACCACTTTTTTAACACCTGGTATATAAAAAATAGCATACATTTTTTTTACATGTTAAGAATATTCAAGTTGAAACTATAATAACTGTCACATTTTTTAATTATTTTTGATTACCATCAATACCAGTTAAGTTGCAATATAAATGCATTTCACACAGAGTCTGTTTTAGTTGGGAATGAGAACAAAACTAGTACACATAATACAATGTCAATCGTTTATTCTTAAGCATATAGTATACAGGTCATATGTCAGTACATCCCATGAATAAATATTGTATTTTCAAATGTAAAATATTTTGTCCCCCAATTGTAGAGTAAATTTGCCATCTAGTTGCATTTTTTTGGACATTACTAAATTTTATACATAAAGCTACATTCTACATATATACTGTTCAGAAAAGTATATAACTTTAGAGAAAAACGGTTTGTAACTTGAGAATGCATAAAAATTTCAAGTATTTGTAATGATGTGTAATATAATATTATCTGTAAGAAAAAACTGTTTACCAGTAAAGATGTCAAAGTCTTCATTTATCTGTAACAGTTTAAAAGCACTTCTTGCTCTCCAACCCTCTTCCTTGGCCAGACGGTAATACACATCTCGCTTGTCCTTTGAAGATTTACCCATTCCTGTAACAAATATGGGTTGTGTCATGACAAACCAACATAGTCTGATCACTATTCATGCTGTTCGCTATCAGTTTCTCTACTTGTAATAGGGTTTGTAATCGAACAGCATGGGTCCTGATCAGACTGCGCGGAGGCACAAACCCATTATGTTGGTTTTGTCATTACGCGGCTCATATACATCTTCATTATCAGGGCCTTTTTACCCTTCTTTGCTGTAGCCGGTATTCGGCTACTTCCCCAAGCCAAGTTACTACCTTTTTTCCCCAAAAAACAGTCTAAAATTCCCCTTCTTGCGAAGATTTTCCCTTTCAGAGAAATGTTAAATCGAAGAAAAAAACTTGTAAACAAACGTTCTTGTTTAAAAATAGATCATTGTTTTTGTCCAATGAAAGCTAATTATTCAATTACCCACTAGTGGGATACCTCGATTCAATGCAATTGATGTTAGCTCACTGCCTCGGTCTGATTTTGCAACATGGGAAAACCCCGCTGCCTTATTTTTTAGTGCACACGTGATTTTTTTACGAAAATACGGCGACCGATTTACGATGTCGCAAATGTAAACAATGTCACAGAACAAGAAGAAAGTACGAGTGAGTGACATTTGTAATTGTTTATGAAAAATTGGACAAATCGTTGACCTTCCTGTAAGTGCAAGAGAATCCAATACATGTATCAACTAGCAAGTCCGTGTGTCCGAGTAGCAAAACATGCCCAAGTGTGGGAAATAGCTGCAAGTCTAGCACAACAGGGCCAGTAATAGTGATATGGTGGGAACTGATAATAATGTTCCCTCTGAATCAAATCAAGAACCCTCACATGTCCTATGTAAATTTTCTATAATTAGGAAATGTATTCTAGTCAAAAAATCCCTTTAACATATATGTTGGACAGAAAGCTCCTAAAATAAGTGTGTTTGGAGGAAAATATGCAAATATATTATGATATTTCCCCCAAATGAATGATTTATATAAGTCTTTATTTATAGTAATTATGGTCAAACTGCCAGTGGAAAATATGATTTTTTTCCCCAAAAGTATGAAAACCGCGCATTTTTTCCCCACAAAAAGGGCTAGGGCGCCTTCCCCAAAACTAGTGAAAAGGCCCTGATTATAAACATAGAGTTACCTGTAGGTATGAAAAGGTGTGTACAAATTTTTTTTTAAAACTGCAATATGATTAAAATGTAGCAAAACTGTTAACGATGAATATTGAAAACACCATACATTTATAAATGATTAAAATCAGTGACATAATATTATTGTATATCCTACTGGTAGATAAAATTACTGACAATTACTTAAAATTTATAACAGCATTCGGAACTGCCTCGGCTATTATCTATAATATTAACCTCGGAAACAATACGGATTGAAAGTAGTTCTACCACGTGGTTTCAAATGTAAACAGAAACAGAGATAATGTAAAACAAATGTATATATTTGACATCTAATGCCTGTTCCGGTACTCTTTTGCTTGAAAATATGTCTGACAACAATTTGTAATTTAAGTATGACCACTGATGTTCAATTTCAAACAAATCCGACGAAATGTCAACAGGTTGGTTTTTTGTACTTTCGGTTTCTAAAACCATAATAATAAATATATAAATAATAAATTGTTTGCTTTTGTACATATGATATCACTTATTTAAAGTGAACCTTTACTACATATATTGGAAATAAACTTGTAAACAACTCCCAGCATTAAATTACTATTTGTTTACATGTTTAGTTTCTTAGCGTAGGTTAGACCGAAATACCGCATCCGTTCTGTGTATTCATACTATTGTGTTCGAGGTCCTTATCCGAAGACTGACGGAAAGGGCCGAGTAGTTGCGATTGTTTATAACAGTAGTTCACAATGTCATGTATGACACGTGTAGAATTTCTCGTGCTCTGACAGTCGATTTGCACGAAATTCTCGCGCTTTTACATGGTCGGTATAAAATACAATGGAAAAAATACTGTTTAATATACTATTCACAATGCAATTTTGTTTTTAAGCATATGATGCTTTTCGACGCAAAGAATGCATTTACAAAAATTGCACAACATAATGTTGTGCAATTTTTGTAAATGCATTCTTTGCGTCGAGTTATATTATTCTAAAAATCTGACGAACTTGTAAATTTTGTACATACTACGGAAATCGTGTTTTTGTGTAATTTCTGGGTCTTTCAAATAGAAATACTCTGGTTATTAATTGCATTTTGAAAGTGATTTCATGCGTTTTTGATTAGAAAGTATATTTTTGTAAAATGTCTGTAAAGGTAGAATCCTCAATGATTGAAAGTGAAATGACACTGCATTGTCAAGCAACATCCTGTTAGGAGAACTAGCATGAATTCGCCTTTGCCATTGTGATGTCGCCGCACAGCAACTTAGATGCGACTTAATTTTGGCGGGAATAGTTTTTACTCTAATATAACCTGATCTATTCAATGCAAAGTAATTTGAATCATATAAATTCGATTCAATATATCACATGTTTCTTTTGCTGCAGGCAAGTTGAGATTTGTTTTTAGAATACATTCCCCGTGTATAAATCTCCACACAGCTCTAATCTGTCCAATTCAAATTATCAGATGAGTGAATTTCACTACCGTCAATTTGCGTGGTTAAGTCTATTATTATTTTTAGGGGGTTTTCGAAAGTATAGAGGTAAGATACTTTATAAAACGAGGTGAAAAGGTAAGATACGGAGAAAATTTTGGAAGTGGTAATTATTACTTAAAACTTTTTACCGTCATCAATCTTCTTTAATTGATTTTTAATAGGATCTTGCTGAAAAAATATTCTATGTTCTCGCCGTTTCTTCTTGTGTCTGACGTCAAAGTATCCAACCTTGCTTATACAATGTACTTATAAATACTCAAACAATTTTGTCACATTTATTCCAAGAATTAACTTCCCTTTGATGCACCTTTATTCTAAGAATTAACTTCCCTTTGATGTTAATTTTTTTGTTATAAGTTTTTTATTCACCCTGTATTTTTCCTGTCCTTTTTTATATCTGAAGTAAATTACATGTACTTCAAATTCTATGCAGTTTATCGAAAATGCAAAACAGAATTTTCTTTCTGTTTTTGTCTAACACTTGAACTTTTTTTTCGTATTGAATAGGTAAAGTATTTATCATAACTGGATTTTTATCCTTCTTCACTTAAATGTTTCACTCCAATAAATATTTCTGTAAGAAAAGAGTTCTGAGGCAGTTAGGAAAAAAGAAAACGTCAATTGGAGGGCAATGTGCTATCTAAAATGTGTTACAAGGTTGTAGAAAGACAAATTTTGCCATTGTTAGTATTAGGATAAAACCAAGGGCGTTCAAAAAAAAAAAAAGAATTTGACAGTTTTAAAAATTTCATTTTGGATTTGAACAAACATCCAAGGCAATAGTGATATCTTAAACATAAGGGAGCTATAATGTGTATATCCATTCGGATAATTCACAGTTCGGATGTACAATTTCGTGGTGATACAAATTCGACTGTGTTTCGTATATATTGTAATTTGAATACTATATATGTTAATTTTACTAACTATTTACTTTAAATGTTTAATAGAAAAATAAATGTAAAGCCTCTTGTTGGTGTTAATGTTTTTATAAAAATTTCTTATAAAATCATTATAAAGTCTTAATATATGGTTTTCTCTCTCATTTTCTGGCTAACTGGTGGAATGTATAGGTGAAAATGCCCTTTGATGCTAAATTTTCATTCAACATGTTTCACTCACACGACATACGAGCTTAAGACTAAACTTTGGCAAGATGGTACACATAAAGAAGGCCAATGTGCACTGCCATGTCCAACGGATGTTTCGTTATACAGGGCTTGTAACACACATTCCACAATTCTCAGTATGAAGCTTTGTCAATAACGCACACACATCCGCGCGCACTATTTTGGAGTGCTATATAATATTTTGAGTGTTATCTAACCATACGCATATGCTATAGGTAATTGTTTATTATTTTCACCTTATCGGTAACTAATTGCTAATGCCCAGTGAACAGACATCAGTCGGTTATGCATGACACTCATCGTAAGGGACCAAAAGTTTTGTGTACAGTTAGTTTATCGGACCAATTATCATGCGTACAGTACGAAATACAGAAATATTGTGGGATATATGCGGATAATTATTTACGTCCTTTTTTCTTGATTTTATAGTTTTGCTTTTTAGTTTACACGTTAATTAGTGCTATGATAATCAAGTATCTGTTTCAATATAATTGTTATTGTATTTTTTTAAATGTTTGTCAGGTTGCTTGTGGCATTTGAAGAAACAAATAACCACAATAGCTTTCTCGTTACCATGGAATAAATTCTTCATGTGTATCATACTTTGGGGACCTTTCTCTTGAAAATGTGTCAGACCTAAATTGTTTGTAAACGTATATTTCGCATATTTCGTTAATTAGTTACCTGCGTTCAAGAGCAAGCCCATTGATTGGCTCATTTAATCTGGAACGACAAAGGACGGGTATCATATTCACGGTGCATATCCATATCGGTACCCTCTTTGCGAAATCTGCTGAAACGGTACCCTCTTTGTACATGCACAGGCCATTCTCTGCTCAAAACAAACCAGCCATGGATAACAAGCCAGTAAAAATTCATTGTAATAAGGAAAGGAGGTATGACACGTGGAAAAGATTTATACTACGGAACACTAGAATGATATTCAGATGATCGTTCATTGATTACTTTTTTCTTGGGTTTCGTATTGTGACAACAGGGAACGTGTTTTTATTTTTGCCTATGATAGAAAAGAGATTAAAGATAGAATTAAGAGAAAGAACTCTTTTTCATACACAAGTATATGGCCTGCTTGGCGTGTACTTTATTATTCGAACAACATGCAACAAATATATGAAGCACACGTTATTTGACACGTGTCGTACCCTTTTACATCGTACCTCTATACATTCGACACCACCTTGTTCAATAATGAAAAGCTCAGAGACAATCGCAACTACTCGGCCCTTTCCGTCAGT